GCACACCAGGCTGCATCCGAATTCTGCTTCCTCCTTTCGAAGGGACGGCCTCTTTTCAAACAGTATCACTTGATTAATGGATCAGTTCTGAACAAACAATTAATGATGTCTGTCGACAGGAACCTTTTTTTTTACAGGAACCTTTTTTACTACATGTACTAGAGGTAATCTCAAACAAAAATTTTAAAAGGTCAGGACTGAACTTAAAGGGCTCTCTTATTACAACAATTTTAACAAGTTGGCATACATACGGAGGAAATTCTTCAAAGTAAATCTACACAGCCAAAAAAAGGATTTGTTGTCATGGGGATAATTTATATTGTAGGAATATGAGTTTTAGCAGTCATCTAGTTGAAGTAACAGTAATTTATTCATAGAGGTCATGAATATTCAGTGCCTATTTGTTTCGGTGTACTTGCTATTACAACTACAGGGTCCCTTTTGAATAGTCTCAAATATCGTGCGAGAGTTAGACTTTCTACTTACCTCATTAGTGAAATTTTTAGGTAAGATTACTTTTGTACATATTATCTGAATAATTTAGAGGATAGATACATTTTAACCGGGTTTTACGAACAACGGGGGGGGGGGGGGGGGTACTCAACACTAGAATAGCACGCACATGGTTTGGCGCTCTCTCGCTACTGTTTTGTTGCTGTCTAGATTGGTGACATAAGAGCATCACAAATTACTCTCTTTTCAAGGATTTGGGGGTAAGTCATTCGCATTTCTGCCATTGAGTTTGTCCTGCAAAGTTCATAGAAGACACTGATCTGTGTGGCTTTCAGTCTGATCCATTCTTGCGGCTCAGGGCGAGTGACATTCGCTGAGTGATTAGAGTCTCATTTTGAAGTTAAATGGCCTTTCTGTATGTAGACATCGCACACACAGTGCTGTGTTGCATTAGACAATGGCAGCGTAACGTACTGTACATGTAAATTGTAAAGCATTATGTGCCTTGTAGTGTGGGTCGTGCGCTGAGCACAACAGTGTACATAGGTCTAATTACTGGACGCGTTGCCCCTGTACTTAAATTGCATATTCTTATGAGTTGTCAAGATATTTTTTATGTGTGGATTTAATCGTATAGCCATTTCCTCGGCTGATGCCCCTTATTATAATAATTATTGGCACCGCACAAGGAGAGAGGCACTCACCGTTTACATTACATAGTGCATCGGGGTAAGCCTGGCATCTTTTTAATTACACGTACTTGTAAATAAACGTGATAAGTCAGTCAGTTATTAAATACACACATGTATTGGCTCCTCTGGATTAGATATGTATGTAGTAGTTGTCTTTGTGACAGCTCATGGATTTATTTATGTTGATACAACCTGTATTGTATGACAACCATAAAGCGAGTATTATAAAATTGTAAAACATATTTTATTGTCTACAATTGGCAGGGTTTTTGATTTTCTTTTCCTGATCTGGAATCATCAAAATAAATTTCTGGTGGGCAACTATCGTTTTGTGGTACATTTTCTTCTTGATATGCTTAACTCTTCTTTATGGGGTGAACCTGACCACCCTAAGGTTCACTGGGGTGCTGCCTCGTGACAATATGTTAGAAATCTCACTCACATTTGAGTCGGCATGTCTGTGGTATCTAGGGATACGAGTAAAGTTAATTCAAAATGTAAGTCGTGGTTTAAAAATGACAAGACGTCGGCAGATAAATTTACTGAAGACTCGACACGATGAAAAATGCATTGCAATGCCCTGCCCTACCCTTTCAGTGTAAAGAATTGTGCAGAATTCCTGACTCGTGACACTAATCATGTTTTGATAATGCATACTTTTTATCTTCCATTTTGTAAATGCGTACGTTGTTTACAATGACCGTGTAAATTCAAATTTGGCATGCTTAAGGGGGTTAAAATATTGCTAAACAAAGACTTTCGTGTTGACAGTGCAGCTGCACAGATGCAGTTTGGGGAAAAATAAATGTTTTTTGTCATAAACATGTAAGTTTAATTTAAGCAGCTAGGTTAAAACACCTACCGAGTGAACAGAAATCATTGTATTGACTTCTCCAACCACACCGCAATTTTATTATGTGCCAACTAAAACAACATTCTGGGGGATCCACACTGCAAAAAAATTCCCATATTAAAAATAACACCGATGGTGTCGAATTTTATTATTTACTGGTGTTTATTTTGGGGAGGTTTTTGGTGTTAAATAACACATATTTTTGGTGTTCAACTTAAAATAATTCCCACGTGTTTTCTTGGACAAGGAATGTGGTATTAGGTAATACTGTTAGAAGCCACACTCGTACTGGTGTTAATATTAATACCCCAAATAATGTCATCTCTTCTGTAGTGGTCTTTGGGGAATTATTTGGCATGGAACAATACCTGAAAACTGAAGAAATTCTACAAATTAGTCAAATTTCGAATTAAATTATTGGCAACAGGACTCTTAACTTGATGAGATTTTTATTGATCAGTGTAATTAGAACTATAAACAAGTTAAAGTACCAATCCTAACTAAAAATAATATTACTATAATTAAAAAATTCACTGCTGCAGAGAAAGGAATGCAGTGAAAATCTGCAAGGGAACACAGAAAATTAATTTAGAAACTTTTAAATAGAACACAGTTACTGTAAATCGTTCATGTATATAATGTCCTAACACCACTTAACCAGCAACTTTTATGTTTTACCTGTACTCTGACATGAGTGATACAAGTAGCACTTTCAGTATTAGTGTAGCTCAATGCAAAAGAACATGTCTGCGAGATAAATACTGGGTAGAATCACATGTTGTTAAATTTCAAATCAAAGACAATCGCAGACCATCAACAATATCCCTTTGTTTTTTGACAACAAACTGAGTAGGAGTTTTTTCATCTTTTACTGTAAAAGAATGCCTGTAAATACTATAGTACAATTACATTGTTATTACTACTATATTTGTTGAATACATCTTTCAGTAATTTGGTACTACTTGGCAACTTTGTAAAATTTGGCATATTAGGTATCTCAAGCCACTTAAAAGTAGTGCTTTACCTTAAACTTGCAGCTTGTAAATTGCACCATGAATCTGTAAGTGAAAACTCCTATTTAGAATTGGAACCTAAGATATCCTGTATTGAATGTAGGGTCATCGTTTGGTTTTTGTCAAGGTAATGCTTATTTATAGGCAAAATTATAAAAAAGACACCACTCAATCATCCACTTTGTTTTTGATTCTGTTTTGCATGTACTGAATAGGGTAAAATAACTATTAATTACAAAAAAGGCAATTAGCACGAGAACCATGTATTAACTTTGCACAGAGCAATACCAATTAGCCAAATGTTTTGTTTTACGTGTGTTCTAAACACACAAAAATGGGATCAACAAAATCTTAAATATAAAAAATCTTTGGCAATGCTTTCAATTC